CACGAAACGCTTACGGCTAAAAACCTGTTACATGTTACTTCAAACAAATAAATTAAAAAAAATAAAGCAGCATTACGAAGTGTTTTTTTAAGTAATAATAATGTCCTCCTAACCGAATTTCGGCCACGGCGGCCTGCCTCAACGAAGGCTAGCCATCGGCGCAGGACAGGATTATAGTGCCCAAGTGTATGCGCAAGCACAGGTGCACTCTCTATTCCCTCACTCTCGTAATCCAATGGGACGGTAAACTGACACGACCGGGAGAGAGATCAGGCGCAGTACCAACGGCTTTACGTGCTTTCCGAGGCACGGGGGTGAGACACCGCCAACTTTCTTACTCCGAGCAGCTACTGAGAATTTCTGGACAGAAAACTCAATAATTGATTTTTGGCCCGACCCGGGATTCGAACCCAGGACCTCATGATCAGCAGTTGCACTATTACCAACACTAGACCAACGGGGCAGTCAACGCTTACGGCTAAAAACCTGTTACATGTTGCTTCAAACAAATAAATTAAAAAAATAGAGCAGCATTACGAAGTGTTTTTTTAATACTGAAGTGACAAACGAACTTACAATCCACCTGATGGTAAATGACTGCTGCAGTCCATGGTCACCAACTTTGTATCAAGCCAATTTTATACAAAGAAGGCTACAGATGCATTGTAACTCATCATCATGATTACATCCCTTCACAAGTCCACTGCTGAACTTAGGCCTCCCTCAAGGAATGCCACAAGGTACGGTCCCGAACAAACCTGGACCCATTGACTTCCTACATGTTTGATCAGGTCGCCACTCCATCTAGAGGGAGTCACCCTACACTACGCCTACCGGTACGAGACTGCCACTCGAGAACCTTTTTTCCCCATCGGTTGTCGATTATTCGAGCTATATATATGGCCGGCCCATTGCCACTTCAGCTTGCTAATCCTATGGGCTATGTCGGTCACTCTGGTTCTACTGCGGATATCCTCATTTCTAAGTTTATCACGCAGAGAAAACCCGAGCACAGTCCTCTCCAGAGCTCGCTGAGCGACCTTGAGCGTCCTCATACGTTCAGCTGTGAAGGCCCACGTCTCAGATCCATAAGTAATCATTGTCAACATGCACTGGTTGTACGATCTCGTTTTCAGGTTTTGTGGTATACGGTATAACGTGACCATACGTCCCACTTTAGGCAGGACGGTCCCGATTTAAAGGTTTGTGTCCCGCTGTCCCCGAAATACGCAAAAATGTCCCGCTTTGACAAATAAAAGCGTAGCATAATGCAAACTATGTCACCCGTGCCATCATTATGACACCGCGCGTACCGGGTTTGCCAGAAAGGCCTGACTAGTTACGTGATTATTCTGAAAACCTACACTTTTGAACTTAAAGTTACAAAGAGACAATTTTTAATTAATCTACAATAAATTATCAAATAACATAGTTATTTCTAATTGGTATTTATTTGGTGTTCAGAAAAAACTAAAAAGCCAGCAGCCAGATTTTATATGATTGTAAGTTCTCATTCTCACTTTTGATCATTAAAAGATTCAAACAACTATGTGTTTTATTTTTATACTATAATAAAGGGTTCCAGATTGAATTTTGGTAACGGCTTCCGGAGGCACGTTGGTGAAACCCCACCAACTTCAATAAGTTCGAAATCAATATTCCGGGATACTACTGAGAATTTTGTGACAGAAAAACCCAATAAATGTTGCTTGGCCTGACTCGGGTTTTGAACCCGGGACCACATTATCAGCAATTGCGTTTACAACCGTTAGATCAAGAAGACTGTCAAAAGTGTTAAAACTATAGTAATTTTAAAGGTGTCCCGCTTAGAGGCAGAAAATAAATGGTCACCTGACAAGAAGATATATCCTAATTTCCCGAACGCTCCTTGCTACGGTGGTATTGTAACTCACAAGTTTGTAAATATACTGGTTTTCTATACCCTTCAGACCCGAACACAGAAATGCATGCACTAATATTCGACGATAGAAATGGATAATATGATGGTATCTATTCAGCGGACTCTTTATCATAAAGGGACGCCTAACACAAATTATTTTATAGCATTATATCGTAACACATGTTTTTCACTCTGTGAGATTTTCGTGAGAGCGAGGTCCTTCCTCAATGGAGCCAACTTAATGCAGCTTGCTTGCGTTTTTTTATTTAGTTAATTTCGAGATAGTTTTCGCTGAAGCCTACATTGTTAGGTATTAACACGTATACCAAGTTTCAAGAGAAGACTAAGAGATCTTAAAGAAAAGAGTTGCAGTTGTTCCTAGGCGGCGGTAGTTGTTTACCATTACATCGCTTCTTTATTATTTTGAGTTCTTATCAATAAGGATTCTCCTGTTTAAGTTATTTACGTGGTAGAGCCACGCTGAAGCTATATTATAGGTGTAGCACAAATGGGTCGGCTCGACCCGGGCAGGACCACGCTCTCACAGAATACCAGCGTATAATAATAAGCGTAATGCTGATGTGTTTCGTATGGTGAGTGTAGAGAACCGGAGAACCTTTTTACTGGAACCAAGGCATTCCATCTTAGTCCTCACGTATGACAACGCATTTGCTTTTTGATTCTTAAATGGAGGATAAATGTGGATGTCTATGGGCCACAGCATCCACTTACCATCAGGTGGACTGTGTGCTCGTTTGTCACCCAATGCTATAAAAAAGTTTGTCTCTGTCGCCTATTACGACACATTTTGATTGGGTTATTTAATTCTCTGACTGTAACTATGAAATGGCCCAAAATTCCTCGATAAACGAAGGAAAGCACAGGCCAAAAACACGAGGCTCATTTCGAATGCTATTTTAGGTCTATAACTTTTTTTCAATATTTTATTAGATATTTTATAAATTATAAAATCATTCACCCAAACTAGCAATACAACAATGAAAACTATACAGGCAGTCACAGCTGAAAGAATAATGAGTAGTCAACAAAGCTCAGTTCAACGCTTTCTATATCGGAACTAAATACCTAGTGACCCAGATATACAAACGTATACCTTGCACTTGTTACCACGTCCACCAAGTCTTTGAATTATTAACAACGTCATCATTGCCGTCATTGAAGGTCTTCTCTAAGAATAGGGGTGACAAAGACGCTCACAGTCCATTTGATAGTAAGTGCATGCTGTAGCTCGTAGACATCTGTTTTCAATTAAGAATAAAAATGCAGATGCGTTGTCAGCCCTGAGGACTAAGTAGAATGACTCGTTACCAGTAAAATGGGTCTCCGGTTCTCTACACTCACCATACAGCAACATTAAGCAGCCTTTATTTATTTATTTACACTTTCATGCACAAGGTAGTACATATAGCGGACTTAATGCCATAGGGCATTCTCTTCCAGTCAACAATTTGGTTAAACAGAGATAGACTTTTACGCTATGTTACTCTGGGAGCGTAATCTTACCCTAGTCGAGCCGACCCATTCACGCTGCGATTATAATATAGCTGCAGCGTGGCTCCACTATGTATGAATTTAAATGAAATTTGATGAAATGAACAGCATAGGATATGGACCCACAGCAAGATTAAGGACCCAACGCCAAAAAAATCCTGTCATGAATTAGTATAAATTGCTCATTCCTTCTTTCACAGAATTACTAAAATAGGAATGATTTCACTGCTATCCCAGTGAATCGACCAGTGACGAATTTTTCATGTCCTTAAATATATATTTACGTGGTAGAGCCATGCTGCAGTTATATTAGTAGTATAGTTGTAGCACGAATGGGTCGGCTCGACCGGGGAAGGACCGCGCTCTCACAGAATACCAGCGTGAAATAGTAGCTTAATGCTGCTGTATTTCGTATGGTGAGTGTAGAGAACCGGAGACCCTTTTTACTGGAAACGAGGCATTCCATCTCAGTCCTCACGGGTGACAACGCATCTGCATTTTGATTTTTAATGGAGGATAGATGTAGATGTCTATGGGCCGCAGCAACCACTTACCATCAGGTGGACTGTGTGCTCGTTTGTCACCCTATTCTATAAAAAAAAATATATACCCCAGGAGGTACCCTCCTACCTATTACTTTCACCTAACAGCAGTATTGCACTTGTCTTACGGTTTGAAGGGTGTATGGAACCAGTATATTTACATGATGTGAGGCAATCCATCTTTATCCTCAGGGGTGACAGCACCTCGGTAGTTTTCTTTGTTTAAATTTAACTGCTGGCGTGTATAGGCTGCAGCAGGTCTTACCATCAGAACTATAAGTTCTTTATCCACTTCGGTTTTTATATAAAAAAAAATTCCTTAATCTATTTTCACCAACAAAAACTTATAATTATCACTTAAAATTGAGTGATGGTTTTAACTTGGTTTAAACTTAAAAAATATATTTATGAAATAAACAAGAATAAAAATTTCTATTTATAACTTAACTTTCCCTTATAAAGATTATTACAAGAAATAAATTCAACGATGTAATTATATTAATGGATAACAATAAACAGGCTTAACGCTCTCTATTATCCTAAATACAAAAGCGTAATATTAACCTAAATTTCATTCTTATAATGGTAGAATTACATAAACGTAGACTTCCGAATTGTTACTCGAAATTATATAGTCCTTAAACCTGTGTATAAATTAGTATAAGTTGGGTTTAGTTAATATATTTTTATAAGTGCTTATAAAGTTATTTTTAATAATTAACCGTTGTTACGCAAAAATGATCCAACCGACAAAAGGCTACTTTTAAAATAGTAACATTTGAAATATTCTAGAAGTATTTCATCGTTTAGTAATAATGACTCTCTCTTATCTCTATTGAACTGAGATCTTCTTGGAATTTCTTTTATTCCATGAAAGGATAGAACTTGAAGATTGTTTTCGAATACATAACTCATTCTTACCCAACTGTAGGTTGGACTTTTTTTGTAACTACGTATAATAAATGAGGTGTCGTTTAATTGTGTAATTTAAAAAAAAACGCGAAATATATAAAAATGGGAATAATAAAGCGACATGCAATGAATACCTGCTAGCCTCAACGCCGACATCCTCTGAAACTCTGGCTCTTGCAACCATTTCCACATCCGCCTGAACGTTTCCCTCCCCGACTTTAGCTTCGACCAAGGCTTTGGATTCCTTAATAGATCGCTAAGTGTCCCTTGAGATCGACACAAAACCCTCTGCGCGAATATCGCCTGGGGTATGGAGTACCGTTTCAATTCTCCACTTATCCTCTGAGCCAACTCCTTAGTATTAATCTCTTCTGTGTCGTTCTGGACCTGCGCCTGTTGCTGTGCGGCCTGTTCTTCCCTCAATAACGCTGCGTTGAGGTCCAAGCCCGGGCTCGGTATAGGAGGTGTTGGGGATCGTCTCTCAAATGAGTTGGGCGACGCGCTTCGTCTGCTGTAAGCAGACTGAGGTGATAAAGGTTCATTGTAAGCTGCTGGAGACAAAGCAGCATAGGACTGCTGCTGCTGTATAACAGTGAAAGTACCACCGGCGTGGTAAGCAAATTTGTCGGATACTGTACTGATTGGGGGTAGAGGGAGTAAAGGAGTTAGGGTGGCGTAGGACGCCGGTTCGAGCCCCGGCGGGGTTAGCCTGCCGTTTACGGCTGAAAGGGGGTGGAAGGCCGCGTCGCCGTCGGGGAGGAGGTCGGCTGGGGATAGTCGAGGCGGCGACGCGTTGCTCGGGGCGACTATGACGGTCAGCGGCGCGCGGTCTCTCACTCTGGTCTCGTCCATGGCGCGCGACCGGCGGCGACGGGGTCGCGCGGGCGACTGAATCACGCTTGCGCGGCGCACCCTTCCGTCCCCTCGGTCCACGTCCTGCAAACAGCCCCTATTTTTATCTCCCTCATACCAAACGTCTTATATCCGAGCACACGCAAACGAAAATGCAACCTTACGCCAGCCATATAGAGTTTATTTTTAAATGAATTTTATGAAGGTGACGTGAACGCTCTCTACAATGCACCCTTAACCTATCCTGAGGCGCTTCGAATATATCTTTGTAACCAAACTCGTAGCTACACGTCGATTGCTGTTTCTATTGTTCTTTACGCAAAGAAGTGACTGTTGAAAGCAGAAGTGTATTTAGTTTTTGTTATACTCCCATGAGTTGTTTTATGGTTGAAATATTGTAGTGTGTAGGCCCCCGTTCGAGTACTGTCACTGGGCTATTTACGTGCTTACCTCGTGCTGGAACTCCCGGCCATTTGAGGGAAAATCTGGTTTTTGTTGTAATATTATAACTTGTATGTATTTAACGTTACTAAGGGCCGATTGTTAATCGTCAGATAATTTTTTTTTTTTGTAATTAAAATATAACATAAACAAATTAAAATTGATAGTTGTATGAATAAAATAGTTTAATTGTTTGAATTTTGCATTCAGTCAAGTTATAATTTATTTTATGAATAATTTTTATCTGTCTGTAGAATAATATTTTTTATAAATATAAATATATATTATGGAAAGACAAACGTCGTCCTAGAATGTCAAAACCAAATGTAATAGCTGAACCTAGAGATCAACTTGAGATAATAAAAAAATCTGGTATATGAACATAATACGAACGCTCACAGATCCTGTAAGACTTTATCTTCGTTAAAACTTTGTAAATGTATTAAAACTGTTCAGGACTCATCCTTCAGGTATATCTATAGTATTTTTCTAACTATAATTAACTTTGGTTGCTCTGCTATGTATAAATATCATTATTTACAATGAAACACAATGTGTTTCAAATCATCGAGAGTTATAAAACTTTAAGATATTTAAAGTGAAATTGCTCACCTTACCGTACATGTAAAAAAATTATACTCCATTTAACATAACAACAGCTGTTACATTAAAATTACTAATGTTATTAATGAAACAAACTATACATAAAATTTAATGCAATGTAAGCCATAGCTACTGTCGACGGATACGCACAGGAGTCCCGCAATGACCCGAGCCGACACCTGGCTCCGACAAAGGGATTACTAGTGCTGTATGCTTTTTTAAATATCGAATATCGATAGATACTTAGTCATAGTTGTACAGCAGACTTGCGTATATGTCAGTGTTGTTTAAGAACACGAGTTTTCATAATTGATTGTGGGCTAATTTAAAAAAAATAATGTAAAATCTTTAACCTTGTTGATGTTGCCATAGGAAAAATACTAACTTCGTAAAAAATATGACGTGCGAATAATAAAGCTAGTTTCAGTTTTTGTCGAATCCTAAATTCATTCATTCATTCAACAGAGGCTCTATTCATATCAAAAGTCATCATCAGCGCGTAAAAGTAAGCTGTTGACCTCGGCCTCTACTAATGTAAGGGAGAATTTGCTTCAATCATCATGTTTGGCAGGTGCATTAACGATCGCTGTATCTAAAGTCTCGCACATTCGACGCTGCTGCCCTTCACCAATATGGATATTTTACTTTCGGAAGCCATAAGATCCTTCTATCGCTTCTTAAGGCACCTATGGTACGAAATCGAGAGGTGGTTTCTATTTTTCCGACACCAAATGATAGTAAAATAAAACAGTATAAACAGCAGCGATTATAGCGTAATAGTATAGACCGAGAACTTCTGAGTAGTGACTTCGAATCCAACCGAGCCATTCGACTACGGTCACTAGAAGTGGTTAACGTAAGTTGCAGCAAATTTAATAGTGGCGCTAACATTTACAATTTTAAAACATTTGTGAAATCGGATTTAGCCGGAATAAGGGTGAATAAAAGTATACAATGCAACTGATTATAAGTGGTAGAGCCACGTTACAGCTATATAGTTGGATCGGCTCGACCGGGGCAGGACCACACTCTCACAGAATACCAGCGTAAAATACCGTCTTAATGCTGCTGTGTTTCGTATGGTGAGTGTAGAGAACCAGTGTCCCTTTTTACTGGAATTGAGGCATTCCATCTTAGTCCTCGGGGCTGACAACGCATTTGCATTTTGATCCTTTGTTGAAGATAAATGTGGGTGTCTACGGGCCACAGAATTCACTTACCATCAGGTAGACTGTGTGCTCATTGTCACCCAATTCTATAAAAAAGTGTATGATATAACCATAGACATCTACTTAAATTATCAATTAAGGCTTAACAGTAAAGAGATGACATACTCTTTACGAGTTGTTAAAAAAACATTTCTATATAAGTTCGAAAAGTTCTGTAAACTAATCCAAAATGCCTCATTCAATGTCGTTTATATTCTTCTTTACAATTACTATTTAAAACTGATATTCTGTGAAAGCTTTGTTATTTTCTAGTCCGTACCTTTCGCGCAATAACTATAATACAATTACAGCGTAGCTCTACCACCTCATAGGTTGGTGAATTTTAATAATTTATGGAAAACTTGTTACTAAAATAAAAACTATCGATATCGATTTTCAGATTTTAAACAGTGCCCTTACTACACGTATGACCGCGTGTCGACTTTCGCCCCTATAACACGTCCTGCCCGCACCGAAGTGTGGGTAATTTTCTCTTACGTCAGCAGTTGTAACTACAGACTACCGACACTCCCGTCAGAGATAAGATACCTGTACAGCAATGCCACATATCTCTATTTTTCCACACTTTGGAACGCGAGTGGAAGTAGAGCTTAACTACAGGCGAAGAAAACATGCAGTTAAGTTTATAAAATTTCCATCACTTTTATAAAGCTGGCGGTTCGGTAACGCAGTTATCTTTGTATCCCGTACGAAACAACTATGTATATGACCTTGTACTATCTATATTGAGGTGTAGAGACTAAATATATTGGTATGTATGAGTTAAATAAATACATGTATATTTGCTCTCATATTTAAAGACAAACATATTAATAAATATGCTTAACTATGTATGTATTTACTTATATATAATTTTATATTTACCATCTAAATAACTATATAGATGGATTATATAAAATTGTAAACTATAATATAATAAAAATAATATTATACATTAAAAGATGGTCTGGAAGAGCTCGCTTTTAGCTATAAGCATAGAATCTATGGCTATAAGGTACCGCCCATTGTACAACATTTCTTTTTTCTTCTTTTTAGTTCATATTTAAATATATTTTGGCGCATAATAAAATGTTATCTATCAATCTATTCAAGTATCTATAAGCTTATGTATTTGAAAGACGTGTATATATATGCAGCGTCTATCCAGCATTTATGTGTCTTATTCCCCCGAGAGTCACAACACTATCACTCAGCCTATCACAAGTCCACAAATGAACATAGGCTACCTACATCCATCGACTGCCAACGTATTTCATCAGGCCGTCACTTCATCTGGTGGGGGTTGCCCAACACTGAGCTACGTCAGGACTGGTAGGAATCCTCTTTTACCCAGAAGTCCGTCAGAATTGATACTACTCTCTTACCTATGTCTGGAGCCAATTTGCAGTGACTGCACTGTTGTTTTTCGGCCTTCATCCCCTGTTTTTCCACCTGTGGCAATACTTATTGCACGCCTTACAACGCTCGAGCGTATGGGAATGCTCTACTCTCGACATGGCGCTATGTGACGATTTTTCAATATGAAATTGTTAGTACCAATGTCTCAATTTAGTCACCAAAACAAAAAAGGGATGTTTTGAAATTTAATTTATTGTTTAAATTATAAACTCAGTATTTTTTATCATTTGTTTAGTTATATTTACAAAAAATGTAGATAAAAATTATTACTGCGGCTCTCAATTTGTCTGTGCACTTATTGGAATTCAAGTTTTTGTTTTATATATATAGAAGAGGGGGCAAACGAGCATGCGGCTCACCTGATGTTAAGTGACTACCGCCGCCCACGATCAACCGCAACACCAGGGGAATTGCAGTTGCGTTGCCGACCCTTTAGAAAGAAGTAAGCTCTTTTCTTGAAGGTCCCCAGGTCGTATCGTATCGTAAAGTTTCAGAAATACATATATACGTAAAGGAATGAAATAAATATTTCTGAATAAGTTTCCATTTGTGCTCAGGATGATCTCTCTTGCTCGTTGTTATGAGACACAGACTTTTTTTTTTAAATATTTATCCATTTCATCAAAATTAAATGAAATTTCAATGAAAAAAATCAAACTGTCGTTAGGCGTGCACTTTTGAATTTTGCAAACTATTTTTTTCTAAAAAAAATTATAGAACAACTCCTGAAGTAAAGTCTATAGATAGAGTCTATAGATCTAAGATAAAAAACAATAATTAAAATCAGTATTAATTTCCAAGAAATCGATGAACATACAAAAATAATACGCGTCGAAAATTATGATGTTAATCATCATGATTGAAATGATGATTGAAATGATGAAACTGATGTTTGTCCTTGTGCAATTTATGTTTGTAAACTGCCTCCAAGGTACAGGAGAAAATCCTAACAATAAAAAGGTTGTAACGTTGTAAAAAAGAGAATAAACTTATAGAATCTCTCTATTAAAAATGAACTTAGCATGTGTTTGAAAAAAGCAATCAAGCGTGAGTTCGTGTAAGAATAATAACATCAGGATGTGGTGTGCGGCCGAGGCGAGTAATTGTTCTCGTGACGGGATATGGCATTTACGTTACAATGCCTTCCGTTACCACATCCAGATGTTTTATAGGAGAGGGCGCAAGCGCACGAGGACAAACAGTCCACCTAATACTAAGTGAATACTCGTAACTGCCCCGTTGGCTTAATGGTCGTAAATGCCATTACTGATCTTAAGCATCCAGGTTCGAACCACGGGTCGGGACAAAATCAATCATGAGTTTTTCTGCCAAGAAATTCTCAGTAGCAGCCCGGAGACCATTGGTCCTGCACCTGATCTCTCTCCCGTAGTGAGGTATTACCATCTCATCGGACTATGA